CTCGCGGTCCTGGCCGCCCATGCGCTCCATGTTGAGCTTGTGCAGCTTCTGGCCGATGGCGTTGGCGTCCGACAGATGCTGCTCACTCCACTGCTGCGGCTCGAAGATCGAGGCGAACATGAGCACGGCCACGCACACCGACACCGACGAATTCTTATTCCATTCTCCTGGGGCCAGCTCCCATCTAATACTCCAGACGTTGGGAGCGCCGCAGTACAGCCAGTTGAACCAGTGGAACTTTTCGTTCTCGTCGAGGACGTCCACCGGCCTCGCGGCCAACGCCACCGGCGCGTTCAGCTCCAGCTGCACGCTGTAGAGGCTGAAGTTGTCGTTGAGGGCGATCGGCGCCAGGACCTCGCAGACCTGCTCGAAGTCGAGCTCGTAGTAGCAGCCGGCGAGGTGATTGTTGTCTTCGTGGCCCAACCGCTCGAAGAAGAAGTAGACGTTGTCGTAGCGCCAGATGGCCATCTGCACGTGCAGACTGCGAAACACGCCCATCGACCAGACGTTGAAGAACTCCTCGACGAGCCTGCAGAGCTGCTCGCGGTTGCCGTCCACGTGCTTCTCGGCCCTCACTTTGAATTCGTGGAAGCCGAACGTCAGCGTTTCGGGGAACTCGTCGGGCAGGTGATAGTTGCGCGGCGGCAACACGAGGTCCAGCTGCTGCTGATCCTCGCCAGCGGCACCGACGTTATCGTCGTCGGCTCTGATTGCGTCGTCCTTGAGATCGTCCTTGGTGATGTCATCGCCGAAAGCCATGATGGTGTCGATCGTGCTCCTGGTCCACTTGAACGGGTCGCAGATGTGCCTCATGGCCAGGGCGGACAGCGCCACGGCCGCCGCCGTCCTGCCCGACAGTCTGTGGTGGAATTTGAGCAGGCTGCTGTTCTCGCAGCCGAGCAGGTAGCCGCTCGTCGGCGTGTCCACGACGTACTCGATCATCTCCGGTATCACGCCCTGGTACTTCTCGCGGGCGAGCTCGTCCTCGCTCAGCGTCTTGTCCTCGATCGAGTCGAGCTTGAGCGAGTGCAGATGGAACGGGAGGACGATTTGCTGTTGCTGCTGCTGCTGCTGCTGCTGGGCCACGGGGGGACCAGCGGCCTGGCCCGCGTACTCGTCGTCCACGTCCATCGACTGGAGGAACAGCTGCTCGAGAAACTCGACCAGATGATAGACAGAGCCGAAGCGCAGCACGCAGGCCGACTCCTGGCTGGCGAAGCTCGGCGGGGGCAACGGCTGGCCGTCCTCGTCCAACACGACCTCCCCGGGTTCCGCGCCCAGCGCCGCCTTCCTCACGAACTCGTCCGGATGATCGTGGAACAGATAGTAGGTCCACTCGACGATGCCGTTGTCGAGCTGCTGGCAGTGCGCCCAGAAGGCCAGATAAGCGGGCAGCTGGTCGGGCCGGCTGCACTCGAAGATGCCGTGGGTCTCGTTCTGCTCGAAGAAGAAATTTTCGAGGCTCTGGGCGAGCGTCGGCAGACTTCCACGGGCGTCGCTGCTGACGGGCGTCGACAGGTTGCCGGTGCAGACGCGCTCGCGCAGCAGCAGTCGGCACTTGCGCCTCTGGTGGAACGCGATCAGCCTCATGTTCGTCAGGCTCAGGTTCCAGTCGTCGTTGCCGCTCTGAAAATTTGGGAAAACCCAAAGAAAATATTAGAATGGGTTCCTGCAAGATCTTACGAATATGATTATTGACGATATAATTTTTTTTTGTCCTCGATACTTTCGGTCAAGATTTTAAGTACGATTTTACACGAGTTCTTACGTAAGTTCTTGCCAAAAGAACCACTCACATTCTTAAGATTTTCGTAAGAACTCAACGATACGTAACAATTCGCATCATAAAATTTTCATCCAAGTACACGAATATGAGAAACCTTATATTTCCCCCTCACCTCGCCCGTTCTCGGCTTGCACCAGGTGTAATAATCGTCGCCCTCGAGCACGGCCCGGTCGACGACGTCCGCGCGCCACTCGCTGGGCTCGACGAGGTGCGCCGCCACGATCGCCATTAGCGCGATGCCCAGACGCTGCTTGTCGTGGTTCGCCTCGTGAATGGAGCGCTCGTCGGCCGAGTTGATGCGGCCGCTCAGGTACCAGCTTCTGCCCTCGCGCAGCGGCTGAAAGTCGTGCCAGGCTAAGAGGCCCGGCTGGTCGGGCTTGAAGTTGACCCGGCGCAGCGTGTACAACTGGTTGATCTGATACGGATCGACGTTGCGCAGCAGCTGATTGGCCAGGCCGTTCAAGCTGTAGCAGTAGAAGACGGCCGCTTTGCCCAGAAAAGCACCGTGCTGCTCCTCGTCGTGTTCTGCGCGGCAAAGACTTTTTTTATCGCTGTGCGCGTTCGGGGCTGTCGTTCGTTCTTTTCTTTTTTTTTTTTTTATCATTGATTGAAATAAAATCACACTGACCCACGTCCAGTTCGGTCAGTACGCCGGTGAAATTGAAGGGCCTCGGATCGAAGAAGCTGTAGCTATCTTTGCCGTACTTGCGAATCGCGATAGTCGTCAAGCCACCGTACTCGAGAACGCAGCGTAGGTTATGCCTATTGCTGAAAAACGCCATCAGACCGCTGTACAAGTTGTGCACGGCCGAGTCCCGCGAGATGAATCTCCCCACGACGGTCAGCGTGTCGACGTCGACTACCAGCTTCAGATTCTCGATCTGCAAAATCGTCGTTATCTCTCGTCGTCGTCGTCGTCGACGTCGCGCGTTGATGAATTACCTCGATACGAGAGTGATGATAGCCCCGCGAGCTCTGCCTCTCGAATCCCGGATTCAGAGTCTTGGTCTTCTCGTAGAGTCGCTGGCCCACCTTGATCACCTGGTTGACGTTCTCGCGCCGCCAGCCGCGCGGATATCGCGCCTCCATCGTGGCCAGAGCCACCAGGCACTGGGGCGGCGCCAGATCCCTGAAGTCCTCGCCGCTGGTGTGGCGCTCGCTTATATGGCCCAACAACATCAGCACGTCTTGATACACCTTGATGAAGGTTACGGGCGCGTTGCCAGAGACCGCGTCCCTGCCGATCAGTCGCTCCTGCACCGAGGCGGGCATCACCGCGGCGAGGGCGCGCGGCGGCGCGTACGCGTCGACGTACAGCGAGGGCGAGGCGGGCACGATGCCCACAGCCGGCGGCCGATTCAGTATGTCGGGCGACTTGGGCGGCGGCTGGGCAGGCGTGTAAGGCGTGAGCGGCGCGCCAACTCCGCCAACGCCAACGCCGCCAACGCCGCCAACGCCGCGATCGTCGCCGCGATCGTAGACCGGCGGCGGAGTACTCGACGCGAGGACCATCTTCTTCGCCACGCGCTTCACCTGGGCCGAGTGCCTCAGCTTCACTCGGTACAGGACGTAATCGTCATCGGGTCGCATGCCCATGCGCTCGCGGAGCAACGGCAGCACCGCGTCGAACCTCTCGAATCTGAAGACGCAGGCCACTTCGCTCGTATGCCTCGGGTAATCCGCTCCCAGGGGATCGAACATGAAGCCGGCCTCCACGATCGTCGGGTCGGTCCACATGCTCACGAAGCGATTGTTGTGCTCCAGCACGAGGTACAGGGGCGCCTCTTTCGCGTGCAGATCCAGGAGGGCCCTGCGCAGCGTGGGCTTGCGCCCCTCGTCCTCGATCTCGACTTTGCCCTCGCGCACCCTGGTTATGCACACCTCGCAGCGCCAGCCGGCCGCGTAGAATCGCCACGGCACCTGGCTCATCTCGACGTGCAACACTCGAGGAACCCTCTGGGCTCTGACCTCCTCCGGCGTTGCTCCACGGGTTTGGTTACCCCGCCCTCTCTGCTCGTCCTCGGATATACGGATCCAGGAAGCGACCACTTCGGGGAACAGCTCGTTGGTGTCCCAGATTATCTGGTCCACGTCGGCTCGGCTCCAGTCGCGGCCCGGCTTGACCAGAGCCGTAGTCGCCCCGACGACGGCCGCCACCGGGCCCTGCTGGCCGGGATAGGGCGTGTGCAGCTCCGGGCTGAACAGATCGAGGCTACCCCTCAGCACGGTGACGCCCTTGTCGCTGTAGTTCAGGAGCCTCTTGTAGTGCGACATTTTTATTAATTAAATCCAACTCTTTCACTAATTTTGTACGTCCGTCGTCGAAAGGATCATTATTTTTGAAGCATTTTATTGGTGAAAAATGAATTTTGAGCCTCGTTGGGGAAATTCAGCAGAAAAGTGTTACAAGAATTTTGATAAAGATCGAAATAGGTTAAATTTTGAGAGCCTCTTGTCGATGCTCCGAGGTTCCGAAGACAACTGTCATTTTTCGACGTGAAGTTGCAGCGTGATGGCAATCGAGATTTCTCGTGCAGGCAAACGAAGACTCGACTGCCGTGTCGTTAACCTTTTTTGACTTCTTTACACTGGATTTATAATTTTCTGCACTGCAATGGCGATGTATACGAAATTCTCTAAAGTGGAGAAAAATCGCTATATATTCAAAGCAAATTAATAAGTATTAAAATCGTTTCATTGTAAACTAATAAGTACACATTTTTTGTAATATTTTATTCTAACGATGACGTTTTTTTATGCCATTCCAAAGTCAATTATCGATCAAGTAAACTATCTTTCTTGGATTATACTGCGAGTATCAGAAGAGAACAACAAATTTGTCAAAAAAAGCTACCAATGAACCAATTATTAAAATACAATTTATAAAAAATAAGTGTATAGCTCTGGAGAGAATTTTTTCATCTCGGATTTTCTCTGAAATTTTGTTGATAATTATAAAAGCAACGCCAAATGAATGAAAGAATACATTTACCAAAATAGTCTTTTAATTAGCGAATTATTATGTAACAATTTTGGTTAAAAAAATACGAGATAAGATTCGGCTTCGACGGCTTTTCCGGCATCCGCACGAGACATCTGAAACAAAAAAAATAAATAAATAAATAAATAAATAAATAAATGCCAGAACGCTGTTTTTCCCAAACGAGAGAGAGGGTTACAGAAAAGATCGTGTCGCGTGTTTGTCGCGCTCACTTCAATCGACGTCGTCGTCGCAGTCCATCTGGTTGACGCTTATCTGGCCCGGATCCTGGTTGGCGCACTGCTCGAAGTGCCTCGCGAGCCTCGGCGCCGGGCTCGGGGGTCGACACGCCGCGTCGTCCGTGTCCATCGCATCGTCGTCCTTGTCGTCCTTATCGTCGGGGGCATCATCGTTCCGTGGTACGTACAGACCGTGGCTTTCTATCACCAAATTGTACAGAAAGTACTCGTCGTCGGCCTTCCAGTCCTTGAGGAACTTGAAGAATTGCATCAAGCCCGCGCCCGTCTTGATGCGATAGAGGGCCGGCAGCGGATTGGCCCGGCTGGGAAACGCATCGAAGATGAAAATGCTGTTGCAATTTGAGTGCTTCCATATGGCTAAATAGTCGCCCTGGCACTCGATCACGCCGTAGGGCTTACGCTTGGCGCAAGAGTTGAAGAATTCGGCGAAGGCGAAAACCAGTTGCGTGTGGTTTGGTTCATCCGAGTGTCGGTCGACTAAGCCCCGATTGTTGTACTCGAAATTTACGGTGAAGTCGGTGCGGCCGACTACGAAACCTTTCTCGACGTCGCCTAGCCCGATTGGCGGCTCTACTCGGCTGTGCGGGTGGATCAACGAGAAAATTTCCATTAAAAAAGGTTTTTTTTCTTAAAAAAAAAAAAAAAGAAAGAAAGAAAGAAAGAATTCCATAGCGGCTTTACTGGGTGAGGGGGTTCACTTTGAGGCTGCCTTCCAGCGTCATCAATCTGTGGACAGTGGCGTTGTAGATCCAGTTGGCGGTTATGACGAGGTCGTCCATGTCGCCTGCGTCCCACTCGTAGGCGTGCTTCAGCTGGGCGTAAGCCGCCCCGGCCACGGCCCCCCCGATGGCCTGCTGGCCGGAATAGAAATTTTCCCGCAGCAAGGCGCTGCTCAGATCCAAGGTGCCCCTGATGCAGCTGACGCCCGAGACGTCGTCACTTATGACCGGCTGGAATCTCCTCGCTGCATTTTCTTCTCCATTTTCCTCATTGTTCATTGGTTCATCTTCCATTTTTCAAGTTTTTTCTCTTTTTTTCTTTTCAAGTCTTTTTTGGTTTGCTGTTTTTGCTGATTTTTTTCGAAATCGATTTTTAAGAGGATATTTTGAAACTTTTTATCTGTAAATAATTTAGAGGCCGAGAAAGAAATTTAGTTGGGAATTGTACGAGAATTTTGATAAAGATGGACCGAAATAGGTTAAATTTTGAGAGCCTCTTGTCGATGCTCGCGAAGCCTGAAGATGACTATCGCTTTTTCGACCTGAAGTTGACGATTGGCGAAAATCAATTTGTTTTTAGAACATACTCTTTAGTTAATTTGAATGTCGTTGTTTTTTCTGGAAAAAAAAACATTGTCCGCACGAATTCTTCTCCTGATTAACCAGTCAGCATTTTTGTACGTTAAATTTTTTTTCACGTTGGTTACAAATATTTTAACACCATCCGCGCATGAGTAATAACGAGATACTACACATAGTAAACATCTTTTCTATAGATTATATTAAATTAAATTACTATTCCAATTTACTCATTTTATTCTACTTGACATTTAATACGTAAAAATTAATTGGTATGACTCTGGCAAGAAATTCGAATCTCGCACCCGCGCGTGGCACGCGCCATTGACGCATCCGTACTCAATTACAGAGCACAATCCCGATGTAACATTCGATTTATATGGTGTACACAATACAGGATTAAACTTATTAGATGACTTGCCATTTCATTGCTACGAGAGCATCGAGGCACCTTATTTTCTCTCCTTTTTTTTGTTACTATTATTATTATTATTTTTTTTTTTTTTTTGTCAATTCACCGATCGACAGTTTAACGATCCATCCATCTAACGCACCGAGCTTTCATCTCGGCTTCAAACCGCAATTGTGTATTAACGCGTCTTCGTCTGACATTATATTGTATCCAACCCTTTGAATCGCGCGCGGAAGATTAATAGACTTGAAACACACACCGCAGTGGCGTATAGCTGCTTTAATCCTGCCACATAATGTGTTAACTCTATTTTCTAAGCCGTGTAATTACGGTGGCAGAGACAGACAAAAATCACGATTCCATTGTGCGTCGCGCGCGTGTCTATTACACAGCAGAAAAAGCCGAAAAGAATCTCGGCCCAGGAGAATCGGAGTCTATACGTGTTGTATACACTTAGAAGTGCCTATTTATATAGAAGCGCTGTTGCTATTGCCGTGGCGCGCGCGCGCGCATATACACCGTCTGGTCTATACTGTACAGCAGGTGTTTAAGCGCCACCGAAGTCCTTTGCGAGTGAAAGTGATCGGGGAAATCGCATTAAAGTTCGCGCATTTTTACGCGTATCGGTGTTTTCTTTTTAATGTATTTATTTTCTTTATACCCAAATCCTCGGCTATAGAAGTACAAAGTTTCCTCTTATTCATTTATTTATTTATTTAATTTTTTCGGTGCACGAGGCAGCTAAGCTAGCCCGCATGTTCCTCGGGATTTTTTTCTCATTTTTTTTTGTTTCTACAAACGAGAGACACGGACAACGGACACGTCTCTCGCCGAGTCAAATTGCGACTTTATGCGTTCGGTCGGTCGGTCGGTTGGGCGCACAGGAGAGCGTGTGCCATACGCATATTATATATAGCGGCAGTGGCAGATCTCGGACAGCTGGTGCGAGACAAAAATTGCGGTGATTTTGGCTACCGGCCTCGTCGCTCTGGTGTGTATACACCATACGTCTATGACGCTAAATTTAATACACACACACATACGTACGAAAAATTTTCGTACCAAGTCGCGAAACGAACTACAACACCCAGTGCAAAAATGTATATCGAAATTAAGAATTAGTAAAAAAGAAAAAGAAGAAGAAGCTCTAGTCTCGCTGGCATCGCAGAGGCACCTTGCAGCAGCACAGAGGCTCGTCGAGCGGGCGCAGACAACACACATATATACATACAGACCCCTATCTCGCGGTCATTCACCACAGCAGCAGCAGCAGCAGCGGCACACAAAACACATTATAAGCTATACATACTAACACAACAACCTGTGCCGCGCACACTCGGCCGATCGTCTTAGAGACTTTGGACTTGCGAAAATACGCGGTGCATTATTATATTGCGCGCAGCGGCGGCAGCTGCTTCTGTGCTGTGCTGTGTGCACCGGGGCCATCTACCTCGCCTATACAAAAATCGCCAGCGGTATAGTGGTATACAACAACGCATACGCGCGCCTCGGGAACGCGTCTTAGAAAGAGGGATATATCTCCTCCCGCACCCGAGAGCTTGCTCGCTCGCTCGACTTTTGAATAATTTATGCGTGGCAAACCTCGAGTAAACGTTTTATCCCTCTTGCTTGCTCGCTTGCTTGCTTCTTCTTATTTTACTTTATTTGAGTGCGAGGGGGCTAAGCTGAACAGCACAACACACGCATACAGAGAATAAGAAGAAAAAGAAGAGGAGGAGAGAATCCGGCACGTGCCAAAGCGCGTGGGCGATCGAGAACGTTTGATTTCTTTTTTTCTTATACATACCCCGAGTGCGCTGCACAACCCTCTCGCGTATATTGCAATATGCAGATGCGCGCAGTTACTTTTATAACTAATTGCCATTGAAGTTGTGAAATTGCCAAGAGTGCCGAGCACGCGTACCGTTATATACTCCGAATTTTTATACTTAGAGGATCGTGTGTGTACGCGTGTGTTTTGAATTGCGCGTCCGAACGGGGTTCGGGGTATGCAGCGCATTTTTTAGATTGTACCGATCGTAGCGCATCGCTGTGTGCTGTAGTATGGTGCTACAGTGCACCTTGGGCACACCTGTCCTCGCGCGGCGAGTGCCGCATGGCTTAAAAAGCCTCCCGAAATTTACCGTCCCTCTCTGTGCGTGTGTGTGCGGTACATACCGTACATACTGTACATTAGGTACGTATTTACGTATATGCCACTATATATAATAATGCAACTCTCCGCACGCAGATTGGCAAAACGGGGATTATCCCCCGAGTAAGGCGTATAACGGATCGTTGATTTTTTTCTTCTCATTTATACTCTTCTTATACTTTTCTTTTGCTCGTTTTATTTGTCGATGAATTTTTAATCAACCATATACTACTATGCTGTTTATACACGAGCGTACGAGATATATGCGATAACGAATAAATGATAAAAAAAAAGAAGAATCTCGCGCGTGGACGAGAAAACGAATAGATCGAGAAATAGAACTACGTAACGGATTCGCGGGCGAACCCACACACGGACGGGACCCCAAAAGCGGCCCCGAAACTCAGCAGCAGCAGCAGCAGCAGCAGTAGAAACACCCATTGCTAATATAACCCGTGAATAACGGCACCTCCGGAGCGTCTATCGGTCTATTTTCGTTCTCTATTATTCTTTATATATGCGCGCGTGTGTGTATATACAATAGCGACGATGTATAGAGTCAGCCGGACGAACACCAACACACACACACACGCATATACTTGCATAGGAGCCGTGTGCAGCTTGGTCGTCGAGCAGCTATAGCTAGCAGCAGCAGGTACAAAAAAGAAGGAGTTCGCGATGCAGCTTTTGCACTGCTCCCGAACCCTATACACACGTACGCACACGTACGCTTCGTTGGAGTTAGAAATCATCGCGTCTATATCTCGTCGTCTACTACTACTACTACCACCGCGTGTCCGAATAATAACACCTGGTGGTGGGCCTTGTGTGCCTAGCATTTTTTTCTCTCTCTCTCCTCCTCCTCCTCCTTTTCTTCCTCTTATTCGTTTCGTGTATATTATAAGAGCTCTCTCTCTCTCTCGACTCCTACGTGTATATATACGAACGCGTGGCCAGGCACGCGCCTTGCGCCGCATGCACCGCTGCGCGCTGATTAAATGGGCCCCGCCGCATGCGCAGGATTCGCCATGCGTGAAACTGCCCTATGCGCGCGGGCGCGCGATACATATTAAGCGAGAGAATTGCGAAGCCTTAGATGCGGATATATAGCTATACAAGCGTTGGGGACGCGGGCGCGTGCCAAGAAGTCAATTATTATTATCATTGTTATTGTTATTAGAGAAGGGCTTTATAGTCGCGTAAGTGTACATTTTTGGGCCCGTGACTCGCAATGTCGAATTACGAAGGATGATTTTTTACTTTTCTCATTTACCGAGCTTAAATCCTTGGGTATATAACGCGCGCGCCTCGGCGATATAGTTTTTCAGTTTTTTCCTCTCTCTCTCGTACAGGCTCAGCTGCTGCTGCTGCTGCTCGCCCCGGCAGCCGTTATTTAACATTAAATACAATTAAGGAATTCGTCCTTGAAGGTGAAAAATATAAACGCGCTCGCGCGCGCATCTTTATCACTCTGGTCTATCTGGCGCTTTCTCGATTTATAATACGCGATTATGTGCGTGTGTGTGCGAGCGAGTGTATTACGTACTATGCCGTGTATACAAGCGGAGAATGAGACAGACTTTGAGCACAATTATACTCTCTCTCTCTGTCTCACCTGCATCATAATTCGTCGCGTACTTGCTGCGTATGTATGTGTGTGTGTGTGTGCGCGCAAGAAAAAGTAGAGTGTAATTGCACGCGACTGCAGCTCGAAGCGTTTAATGAAGAATCGTGTTGCTTGCTGCAAGGGACAAAAGTGCGCGCGCGCGCGCCGAGATATTCAGGCCGCACGCAGCACAGCAGCAGCAGCAGCAGCAGAACTCAGCAGCTTGCGACCTCGACGAGAGTAAACTCGCGCGACGACGACGACGACGATGATCGCGAGGCAAGTGCAGAGGAGAAAAAAACAAAAAAAAACGAGAAGCGCATTAATTTTGTCGTACACACATCTGCAGCACGCGGTGTGCAGTGCGCAGTGCTGCGTTTTTGCGCGTATCGATCACGACGCGACAGGCGACGACGACGACGTAGGTATATTATAATAATAATAATAATAATGTAATGTTTATGAGTACGATTCAACTCGTATAAATACGATACGCTTTGTAAATATATCGCGATGCGGCACGCGAGCAGCGATATCGGAGCGAAGATGCGCGCTATCGAGATTTTTTTTTTTTGCTACGAATTTGTCGTTTATTTATATAATATAAGAAGATTGACATTGACATGGTAACAACGCGCGAGGAGTCTAAGATTCGAAAATGAACGATCGAAAGTAAACAATCGAGGCTAGATGATGAGATATTTAGATGCTTGAATGTCGTGATACATTTATGAGGAAACTCGACGCGTGAAAGCAGTG